TAAACCAGTTCAGATACGACAACCATCAATGAACTTTGAGGAATGGGAAGCCTTCCCGGCAACAGAAATCAGTGATCAACAAGGGCAAGCATGGCACCACGTACGTGGCTTTGATTTTAACATTATAAAAAAATTAAAACAGCAGTTGTTCAATATGGAGCTACAGCTCCATATACTTTAGCTATAGTTGACTCAGTGGCAGAAAATTGGGTTCCACTGTTACCTTTGTTCAGGACTAATTAGACTCCCTTACAAAAGTAGTACTCCAAAACAGACAAGGGTTAGACCTCCTCTTGGCAGAACAGGGGGAGTCTCTGTCTTGCTTTACAGGAATGCTGCTGCTTTTATGTCAACAAGTCCGACATAGTTCATGACAAGCTCAACCAACTACAAGAAGATCTTCTTCATTGTAGAAAACAACTTACCGACAACCCCTTATGGACCACATGGAACAGACTTCTCCCATTTTTACTCCCCTTGCTTGGTCCTCTTTTGGACCTTCTGATTGTTTGTTCTTTGGGGCCTATACTTTTCAATTAGCTCATGGCATTCCTTAAACAACAGATTAATTCCATAAAAATGCAGCCTATCCAAGTCCACTACCACAACTTGGAGATGGAGTACCGTGGAGCCTAAATTGTGCTCCTGCCTGAGGCACTGAATTGGTTAGCCAAAGATGGGTGAGAGAGTCTGAGCCCAACAGCTGTACAGTCCTCCCACCTAAGACAGGAAATCCATCATCACAATGAGATTCTCCAATGGTGGGTAAGGATGGACGTGTGGCTCTAAAAAATGACTCCAACCTAAGACAGGCATGATTCCCCCAGGTTTTTCTCCTCTCTTTGAAAAAATAAAAAAGGGGAACATGTGGAGGGTATTGCATATGGAAGCCATCTTGAGCTGTCCACCATCTTGAGAGCTATCCACCATCTTGGAAACCACTAGGTTTCACTTCCTCACTGAGCAAACCGTTTCTCAGAAATCATGTGACCAACCATTCTTCCTGGGGATGGTTGGGTTTCTAGGCAACAGGAGAGATCCACCCACATCAAGGATTGGCTCATACTGTTCTATCTCATTTGCATTTTAGGCAACCAATCAGTGCCCACCAGCATGTATATAAGCTCGTAATTCTTCCTCAATAAACAGAAGACTTGATTAGCATCTCGTATTGTCTCCACTCTGTGTATGTGCATGTGTCCCTTCTCTCACTCCCTCCCCCAGGAAACCTGTTTGACTGTCCTGTGGGTCGGGACATGGGTCCTTGAGGCTTTTTTCTGGCTTAAAGTGAGGTGTGCACAAGATACCAGTACATCCATTGGTTGGTCTCAATCAATTTATCTCAAAGTCCCTTTTAGTTGTGAGTTTATGTGGGGTTTGCTGACAGTCACAGTTTTGTGCTGAGGGTTACAATGTTGTGTGATGGGGTCACAAGTCAGTGTCCTTTGGATCATAGAGGCTGTTTTCTGCCTTAAAGTGGGGTGTTCTGTCTGTATTAGTACATCCAATTGTGGGTCTCAATGAATTTTTCTCCCAGTGTCAGTGAGATTTGTGTTTCAGCTTTTATCCTGAGTGTCACAGTTTTGTGCTCTGGGTTACAGAGTGTTCTGTGTTCTCAATGAGGTGTGCTGTGGGTCCTAGAGGCTTTTTTCTGGCTTAAACTGGGTGTTCACTATATATCAGTACATCCAATGGTGGGTATCAATGCATTTTTCTCAAGGTCCCTTCTAGTTGTGAGTGTTAGTGGGGTGTGCTGAGTGTCACAGTTTTGTGTTGAGTGTTACAGTGTTTTGTGCTGTGGTCACAGGTAGGTGTGCTGTCGATCTTAGAGGCTGTTTTCTGGCTTAAAGTGAGGTGTGCTCGTGTATCAGTACATCCAATTGAGGGTCCTAATGAATTTTTCCTTAGGTCTCAGTGAGATTTGCATCCCTGAGGGTTTGCTGAGAGTCACAGTTTGGTGCTCTGGGTTACCGAGTTTTGGCTCTGGTCTCAATGAGGTGTGCTGTGGGTCCTAGAGGCTTTTTTCTGGCTTAAATTGGGGTGTGAACTAGATATCAATACATCCAATGGTGGGTCTCAATGAATTTTTCTCAAGGTCTCTTTTAGTTGTGAGGGTAATTGGGGTGTGCTGAGTGTCACAGTTTTGTGCAGAGGGTTACAGTGTTTTGCTCTGTTGTCACAGGTAGGTGTGCTGTGGATCACAGAGGCTGCTTTCTGTCTTAAAGTAGGGTGTGCTCTGTGCATCAGTACATCCATTGTGGTTCTTAATGAACTTTTTTCTTGGTGTCAGTGAGTTTTGCGTCTCAGTGGTGTATGCTGAGGGTCACAGTTTGGTGCTCTGGGTTACAGAGTTTTGTGCTCTGGTCTCAATGAGGTGTGATGTGGGTCCTAGAGGCTTTTTTCTGGCTTAAAGTGGGGGTGTGCAGGGCCTGGCTGAGGCTGGAGGTGGATAGGGCGTGAGGACCTTTATCGGGATGCCTTTCTCTTTGTGTCTCTGTGTCTCATGGAGGAAATGAATAAAATTTAAGAAACAATTGACCCTGGTGGCCAGCAGTAATGCCTACATCGCTGCACTCCCACATGCAAACTGTGGTTTGAGTCCCAGAGCCAGTGGCTTCAAAATCATACTGGCCGTGTGTGTGCCCAAGATCCCAGGAGGAGAACGGAGAAGAAGGGATTTCGGTGTGTCCATTGACCCTGAGGGGGGGGGAATTTCTCATTTTCCCTCTTATCTGTCTCTCTCCCCCTCTCCCTCTCAACCCCAGCAAGCATATACACACCCTAAGGCAAAAACCTCTACAGGATATAATTTGTTTGTTGATACCTTTGCTGGGAACTTGATTGGGATGCTGCCGAGTCTGTAGATTGGGTTAGAAATATCATCTTTTAACAGTAATGAGCATCCTCATCTCTAACAAGGAATTTCTCTGCATGTATTTATACCTCTTCTGATTTCTTTCAGCTGGTTCAAGGTTAGGTGAATGTATATTTGCATAAGTTCTGTTAGACTCCTTGATTCTGGAAATGCACACGTACGTGCTTGGTATGTCTCTCCAGCAGTCGTGATCAGGATTCATATGGTGTGGTTGACCATATGGGATCCACCAGTTTTGCTTCTGTGTTTGTTTTAGAGAGACTGTGTTTGTTTCAGAGAGACTTTTTTATATACTATTGGTTCTGCTTGCTAACTGGAGAGGCAGAGAGAGACAGGGAGACAGAAAGCAGGGAAAATACCCCCAGTCCCTGGGGGAGAGGGCATAACCTCACCACCATTCCTTTCCTCTCTTCTCCTCTTGGGATTCTGGGCACTCATGAATATGTGCCCAGTGTGAGTTGTAAATCACCCAGTCTGGGACTCAAACCATGCCTGACTATGTGGGAGTATGGCAATGTATCCTTTACACTACCTGCTGGTCCCCTTGGTAACAGATCCTGTTCATCGTCTCTCTTTCTTTGAATATGATATTTGCAGTGAAATATCATATGTTCTTTTACTACCATAAGTATGCACAGAAACAAAGAAAATGCATTTTGGGGTGCTGGCAGAGTGGCCTGGTGGTTAAGGGTATCAGACTCCTACATGGTGGACCACAGTTCAAATCCTTCAGACCTGGTGGCTTGTTTCATCCCTTCCTCTCTATTTCTCTTCCTCTCTAAGAAAATTACAATGAACCAACAAACTAATAAATAAATTAATCAGTAAACAAAATTAAAGTATTCTTTGAAAAATATTTTAAAAAGAAAAGGCACTTTTGGAATAATCAATCCAGTCACAAAGAATGCATTTGTCATCAGAATGTTAATGGATTATGATTGGTTTTACAGAGTCTTCTTCTTGATGATGTTCTACAAGGCATCAGTATCATCTAGACGATGTGAATTCACTGCCATGTCATCAACTCTGGCCTTGCTTGACCTCAGCTGGCAGTGTCCCGTCTGGATCAGCCAGTGAGCTAGAGTCACAGAGACCCTTCCTCAGTCCAGTGGTGTCACCTTGTGGTTCTTGCGGCAGTGACCTCAGGCAGCTGTACCCAGAGCACCTTGGTCCTCTCTTAGATCTCAGGATTCTTCCTAGCATAGGCCAATAGCCAAATGGCAACCTGAATTTGTTTCCTCCCATGGCATGACTGAGAGGGGGCCTCTGGCAAGTGCTACTGAAAGAGGCACTGCAGAAACCCCCACAGATTTTAAGGGGAGATTGTCCTCACCTCCTCGGTGAGGCTAGACCTTTACTGCGCTCCATGCCCCCCAAAGGCCAGGAGAGGGCTCTGGACACCACCTGAACATTGGGCCGCCTCCCACATCACCCGGATGGCCAAGGTGGGGCACTGGGCCTCAGCTGACCGACAAGCCCTCTCCCACAGGGTCCAAGACCGTCAGAAAAAGTTCCAGAGCCACCTTCTGCCCCAGGAAGCCCCAGCTCCTCCTTCATTCTGGTCAGCACCTTGGCAAGCACAGGGGCTTCTTGGCACCCAACAGAGGGCACCACCTGGCTTTTGGTGACTGGTTGCCATTTGGTGAATAGCTGGTACCTTCCTGCCCCAGCCCGGTACCCAGACGTGCCTCATAGGCAGACAGAGAGGGGAGGGTTCAAGTGGCAGGACCAGAACCACATGTCTGGGCATGTGGGGCTCAGGGCTGGGGTGACCGGATGACGTGGACACACCCTTCCCTTTATAGCTGGGTGTGGGGTGGTCTGTTTCTCCCGCAGGTGGGAGACATTCAAGGCTCGGGCGTAGGGTGTTGCAAAAGATTGAGAAGAGAGACAGGGGAACAGTGAGAGCAGAGGGCCGAATTTCTCTTGGAGCAGAAGTCAAACTGCCCCAGAGCAGAGCCCGTTTATTCCAAATTAAATCAGACGAGTGGTTGGTGAGTTTAGCTATAAAGGATAAGGGACAAGCTACATGATGTTCTTTGTAGGTTCTATTCCTGGCACTAGGTCAATAGCTAGTACACACTTGGTAGTCAGAGGAGACGTGGGATTGCAGAATGTCATCCAACATCCTGGGAAATGGCCCATGCCCGGAGCCCCATCCGGCTGACCGTGCAGTCCCTGTGGCCTTCTGTCCAGGAATGGGGTTGCTTTCAACCCCCTCCTGAATGCTTCCCTTCTGGCTGTCTCTCAGGCCCAGGCTGTCTTCTGTCTCTGACGTGCAGATGCTCTGGGGAGCCCTCCCACCACCCAGCCCCTGCCTCCAGTCTCCTGCACCTCGTAGGCAGCATAGGATTGATGTCTTGGGATGTGAGGAGGCCTGCTGGTCTCCTTGGTGGCAGAACACACTCTGAGCTGTGTGCATTTTGGTGTTTGCATTGAGGCCAGGGCATCGGGGACCTGAGCCTATTGCTGCCCTGGCCAACATCTCTGAGGTCCAGTGGCAGGTACTTGGTGCTCTGCCATCTGAGGCTGGATGTGCCAGTTTACAATCAAGCGTCGTTTCTACCCAGGTCTTGGCGTGGTGGCCCCTGGTGTCAGTGGAGGGGGCACAGTTCCAGGAAGCTGCAGATTTGCCCCAAGTCCTTCATGGGATGAGTCTTTCCTCTGTGGAATTAGCAATCCGGTAAGTTTTTTTTGCTTTCTTTTTTTGTTATGTAAATTTATTCACCATACATGTCACCATGCTAACCTTTGGTAAGGATCCAATTCCTTGGACTTAACCACATCAGCACTGTCATCCAGCCATCTGTTTAGGTCAGAGCCTTTGATTGACCTGAAAGGAAATTCAGCAACCTCAAGGAGTCTCTTTCCCACCCCCAGCCACGAACTGTGAATCTGCTTACTCTCCCTGGATCCGTTTGTCCCAGATGGGCCACATGAATGGACCATCACATACTGTGTGGCCTTTGGTCTCTTGCCTCCCTCACGTCTGTCATCTCTGTGGCTCATGGACCATGCTGTACCATGCCCCAGTATCTGGCTCACGTGACATCTGTCATCACATGGGCAGGAGGGGATTCTTACCATGTAGTTCTTTTGTCAGTCTGGGGAAGGGGGATGTGAGAGCAGCTTCGGTGGTGTGGCGCTTTTCCCTGGGGGCGGGGGTATTTCTCACCATTCCAGCCTTTCTGGTGACCCCAAGACATACCAGCTAGAGGCGCCAGAGGTGCCCAGTTCGATAGTGAGGTGTCCATGTGTACGGACTGTCTGGGATGTGATAGGAGAAGCCAGTGTGCTTATCAGCCACAGGAGGTGACAGAATCATTATCGATCATTTTTGGAGTGGTGACAGTATTGGGGTGATGTCTGTCTCTCTTCCCACTGCTTGCCTGAGATGTCTCACTGACAAGACCTGGGCAGTGCCGGAAACCCCTCCCACTCTCGGGTCACAGTGTGCTGTCAGGGGGAGCCCATCCCTGAAACTTGAGGGGAAAATGTGTGGGTGGGGCACCAGATGACTGGCAAGAGCGGGGACCCCCTAGATGTCTCACCAGGGGTGCAGCATGGCATGGCACCCCATCAGTCCAGAGTTCCCAGAGGTCTCTTTGAGGTCAGGCTGGCGGGGGTCAGGGCATGGCAGGAGAACAGCCAGCCCAGAGGCTTCAGGGAGGAAGGTCTCTGTGCCTTGCACCAGATTCCATTTCCCAGTGGCCACCAGGCAGTAGCCTCCCAGATGAGGGCCGGATCACATCTCCCACCCCTTCCCACCCCTGCACCCGGGTCTCTGGGATATGGCAGTTTGTGGTTCATAGTGTCCGAGTAGAAGATGGGATCACGGAGCCTGCTTACCTTCTCCCCAGTCCTTAGAGTTATGTGTGTAGAACTGGAGTACATTTCCCACAGTCCTCTTGGTGGAAGGCATCCAGGAATAGTGGGCCAGTGGGGGACTTATGGTCATAGCTTCAGACTACATTACCCATAGATCTCGGCGGGGGCAGGAAGGACTTCCAGTTGTGGCATCCTACTACATCACCCACAGGCCTCTGGGAGTGAGACTTCTGGCAGTACATTGGACTGCAATACCCACAGTCTCCCAGGAGGAAGAATTCCAGCTGTGGGGCTGGAACACACCCTTCCCTGACACCTCAGTATTCCCTACTAAAATGTCCTGGGAATGCCCATGGTACCCAGGGATATGGGGTTCCTCTTTCCTCCCCTCACCCTAGCTTTGTTGGTTGGTTGTTTTTTTAGAATGATTTATGGTTTACTTAACTTCATCAATTTCTTTCAATTCTACCAGGGAGGGACAGAGCAGAAGAACAAGAGCGAGAAAACGAGAAAGTAAGCCACCACATCCAGGACCTGGACCGTGTTCTCCCATAAAGGAGTCCGGTGCCCTTAACCACCATGCCCACCACATGCTGGCCCCTGGCGTCCCACTTCTGAGCCATGAGCTTTAGTCTCTTGTTGGTGAGGGGAGGCATCAAAGCCTCAGCTGTCCTTTTGAGAATTCACAGCCCTGGGCCAGTGGGTCGCAAGGAGGTTCAGGTGCTACCTCCTTGGTGGCCAAGCATGAGGTTTGTCTCAGACCTCCAGCTTGGAGATCACATGCTTAACATCCACCAAGAGCAGAACGGAGGAGGAGAAGGAGTCACGACAAAGCCATTTCTCCTGGGGTAAGGGGATGGTTTTTGTCCCACCCCTCCCTACCTCTGTGCCTGTTTAGTGCACAAATTCCACAGCAAAAGCTGCATGGAAAACAGGCAAGGTAAAATGCCAGTATCATGGGGGTGTCCACCTCTCTTTCTGTTGTGTGCCCGAGATGTCTCACCAATGAGACCTGGGCCCAGTGGGCCATCAGGGTGAGCTCACCCCTGCAGCTCAAGAACTGCACTTCCCATAGGCCTCCAAGAAGAAGACGTGCAGGTGCGGCACCAGACTATGCCTCATAGAAGCCTCTGCAAGGGATGTTGTCAGGTGCAATGCTCCCTAAAGGTCCCTCTGGGGGCACAGCACCCATCTGGAGTACCCAAAAGTTTCCGTGAGACTGGCAGGGGTCAGGGAAAGGCAGGAGAACAGCTATCCCAGAGGCTTCTGGGAGGAAGGCCTCCAAGCCCCATGCCAGACCCCATCTCCCAATGGCCACCGGGAGGGAGGTAGACTTCCTGGTGGAGCTCTGGACCATGACCCCCACTTAATCAATGAAGTTAAGTAAACCACCAGCCTCTGGGATATGGCAGTTCTTGGTTCATGGGTCCAAATACAAGTCTTCCCTCCTCCCCTGCTCTTAGAGTTATGCGTGTAGAGCCAGACTACACTTCCCACAGTACTCTGGGCATAAGGTGTCCTGGAGTAGGGGGCCAGAGGGGGACTTCTGGTCATAGCTTCAGACTACAGTACCCATAGATCTCGTCGAGGGAAGGAGGGACTTCCAGTTGTGGCATCCTACTGCATCACCCACAGGCCTCTGTAAGCCAGACTTCCAGCAGCACTTCAGACTACAAATACGCACAGGCCCCTGGGAGCAAGACTTCTGGCTTTGGAGCCAGAGCACACCCTTCCCCTTTAGTAGTGTTCCCTACTAAAGTGCCTTTGGAGTGCCCACAGTACCTGGGACATGGAGTTCCAGATCTAACCCAGAGACATCCTCTGCTTACTCATCTGTTCCCAAGCAGGAAACGTTCACCGTGGGCCAGGCATAGTTAGGGCCCTGCACTCTCCAGCATCTCCACATGTGAAAAAATAAATGGTGGAAGCTGTTTAGGAAGACTCATGTAACAGAGTTTGCACCATTCCCGAGGTAAGAACACTAACATGAACACGAATGAACACAGACACCTGTGGACACAGCTGCAGTGCAGAGTGGCCCTCCTGAAGGAGGCACTTAGCCCTAAGGACGTACAAGCGAGGAGAAGAACACTGCGCAGATCTGCCATCCTGAGTCCTGCTCCCGTCAGGGTCTTCACCTGCATCCTGCACCCTACGTGATCAGAGCAGAAAATGCAACCTCAGAGACCTCATCTCAGGCCACAGTTACTCAAGGTAGAGGCATTGCAAATGCAAGCCTTTAGGCCGGGTCTCTACCAGGCACTGTCCAGGGGTTTGGATGTGTGCTGAAGTCAAGGCCATGAGATGCCCACTGCGGCCGCTCCAATCTGCTCCCTCAGATTGAGGGAGGGGTCTGGGGGCAGGGAGGGCACAGAAGTCATCCAGCATCACTTTGCCTCTTAAAGAACTGTCTTTTCTGATTGGCTATTTGTCATTAAAAAGGCATGTTTCTACTTTTTTCTCCCAAACTATATCATCTGTCCCTTCTCACAGTCCCTCATGAGGAAAAGCCAATCTTCAAAGTGTTCACAGAAAAATGCATGTTGTGAAAAACTACCCATTAAAATAAAACCATACTTTAATTCTGCTTTTCCAAAAAGTTTTCAAAGTCCCCTCTTGGGACTCCAACTTCTTTAGAAACCCTAACAGTTTAAGTGACTACAGTTAGAAATCCTTTTGACTCACACAAAGTAGAGAAAACTACAATGTGTTATGCTTAATATTTGTGTTTGTTTAATATTTCTAAATTTTATTTTTTCATTTCACTCTAAAAATATTTTAGATTATTTTAAAATAAAAACGTGGAAAATAATTATTATGTGCTTGGCAAAGTACCTTTTTTAAAAATGAGAAATGAATTGAGTGCCTTTGAATAGGACTAAATTTGAGCTCATATTGTAAATCAACTATTTTACTTTATCAATTAGCAGCAAGCACTTTTATTTACCACTGTGCAAGCCGGAGTGTGAGTGCCCCTTGTTAAACAGAAAGCTCACATTTTACTCTGTCTCATCTACTTTGTGTTATTAGTGTTCACATCAGAGGACTCCAGGCAGAAAGAGAAGAAAAGCTCAATGCGAGGATAAAGAGACAAGAGAAACTGGAGTAAAGTATGAGTTTATTTTGATAAAAAAACATTTTTCAAAATGCATATGCTTTTAAATCGCCCTTAAATCCCATAACTCCAAGGCCCTCCTGGTGGTAATCTCCCACTCCACCAGCCACCTTGTCTCTCTAGGCAAGGAATGGCAGGAGATGGCCCTGGGCTAGAAAAGGGACATATTAGATTTGGGACAGCAGCTGAGACCAGCATGGCCTCATGGTCAGGAGCCTGTGCTAACTCAGTGCTGGCTTCACAATTGCCCTAGGTATGGCATTGCTGAGTTATGCTTCAACGCTGTAAAATCAGCAGCTACTGTATAAGCTGAGAGGCTTCAATTTGAAAGATGCATTTGGAAAGATTACTTATTAAAGCCTTTTGCCTTTTCTTTTTCTTCTGTAAATCCCATTTCCATCTAAATGGAAGTAGAAGCAGAAACATTGCTTTCACTATGCTCTTCCTGTTTGTGTTTCCATGGAAATGGACTCTTGATTAGGAAGGAGAAAGCTACAATCAAAGCCTTATAAGCTGACAAGGAAAAGCCAAGAGTTTTTTTACTGAACGATGGTCAGATTTTATTCAATTCAGGATGACATAATATTGAATAAGCCCAAACTTACAGAAATGAACACTTATCCCCACTTCTCTCCCAGAGCCATGTGGCCTAGTCTGTGTGAGCATCCCTACCTGTGGGCATCAGGCACACAATGGGAACCCTCCATGAGCATCTCTACCTGTGGTCATCAGGCACACAGTGGGGTCCCTCCATGAGCGTCCCTGCCTGCAGTCGTCAGGCACACAGTGGGGACCCTCCATGAACATCTCTACTTGTGGCCATCAGGCACAGAGTGAAGACCCTCCATGAGTGTCCCTACCTGCGGTCATCAGGCACACAGTGGGGACCCTCCATGAGCATCCCTATCTGCAGTCATCAGGCGCACAGTGGGGACCCTCCTTGAGTGTCCCTACCTGCAGGTGTCAGGCACAGAGTGAAGACCCTCTGTGAACATCCCTACCTGTGGTCATCAGGCAGAGTGAAGACCCTCTGTGAGCATCCCTAC